TGCACCCAGCATTTCCAAAGGCAAAAAGGGAAAAAAGAACAAAAGAAAAAAAAAAACTGCTAACTGAAGCTCTCAATGTAGTTTTTGAGTCAGACCTAAGTCCTCGACTCTCACCACCTCAAACATTGACCGCTTTCTCCCAAGGTATGGGGAGGATGTACTGAGACATAAAATAACTGTGCTAGGAATGCAAACTTTTTCTACCCATAGTTCTGTAAGGAAACAAGAGAGCACTCCCTCTGAGACTGGCTGTCTCACGTGACTGTCCTTATCCCTCTTCCTTTTCCCCTAAATTCTTTGCCAGGGTGGACTGTTTCCTTGTATCTCCACAGGAAGCAGTATCACGCTTCCCTGAGGATGAGCAGTTGGCACGAATTCAAAATGTCATCCAGGAGCTCCCACCATCACATTACAGGTGAGAACGTGTCCATTGAGGCTCTGAGGAAGAGTCTCGTGACCCTCACCATCAGGAAATTTTGCCTGAAACAGCACCAAAGTTAATTTCCAGAAGTTAATTCCCACAGGTTCACTCAACATTTCCAAATCTGACATTTTATCTGGCATTTAATATCTTTGAACAGCCATTGTTAGAGATTAAATGGCCTCTCCCTGCTGCTGTATACCCTCCCCCTGCCCATGCCAGCCCCTCCTCCCTCCCCTCCCCCCCCCCACCCCCTTCGCCCGGGGCCCTGTGGTGTTTGTTGATCTGCTGGAGGCACTTGAGCTTGTGCTAAGCCCTCAGCCTCCACAGCCAGCATGCAGTGTCACCTCCTGCTCCCACCTGGCTGCCATCTTTATAGCACCCATCACACTAAGGATTGTTTGGGTCATGTTCCACATTCAGCCAGCCCAGAGCACATTGTTCAGGTATTCACTGCCAATCCATGTAAATTCTGGCACTGTAAATCATCTGCCCTATGGTGCCCATTGTACCATTGCAAACACTGCCCTGCTTGAGGAGGGAATGACTCTGAGGTCAGGGCTGACTCTGAGATGTGCTGTCCCAGGAGATGGGCATTGTCACCTGAGCTGAAGGGAAAGCCATCAGCAGGTCTCATATTTCAGGCTACGTTGTGCTAGCAGCTCGGGAGATATCACCACGTGCATGGTGAGAGACCTGACGCTTTCTTCTCTCTTCACACCAAACCACTGCAGAACGCTGGAATACCTGATCAAGCACCTGACTCACCTGGCCTCCTTCAGCAACATGACCAACATGCACACAAGAAACCTGGCATTAGTGTGGGCACCCAATCTCCTCAGGTATAGTAGAGAGTCCTCTCATCTAGAGCACCATGCTGAGCTCCAAGGGGAGCATGAGCACCTGAGCCTGTAGGCCAAGCCACTGAGGGAAATGCAAAGCCAGAAGCAAACAGAAGAACTAAAGGGAATATTAGGGCAGAACAAAGGGCTTTAAAAAAAAATTCTTTAATTCTTTAAAAAAATATATTCTTCCAGGTTGACTAATCTGAGATCTTACTGCCAACATCCAAGGAAGCTTGTGGTTTTTTTTTTTTTTAAGCTGTTATTTGTAACCTGACCACATTGATTTAAAAATGAGGAGTTAGCTCATCACTGTGGAACGGAAATGACATTTCTAACAGTGACAGTGCTTCTACAACAGAGCAGTGAGAGAGAGCACGGCTCAGAAGGGAAGGCAACACAACAGTAACATCAAAGTCTGTGTCCAGATCTGCTTAAGCATACGTGAAGTGAGCTTGATGGGCCTAAGATGGCAGCTAGTGCCAGATCACAAGATCACCAGGTACTTTTTCATGTTTGCTTTGCCTGGCACAGGGGAGAGGCGCAGATGAGAGGCAGCCAGAGGTTTTGCTGATATGATGTAGAGCTGAGCAGAACAAGAAAAAATATTATCTGAAAAATTTCTATTGAAATATTTTATACCTTGATGAAATTCCCTTCCTAGCCCCTCTGCCCAATATCAGTCTATTGAGAGGAGTGAGCTATGCAGGGATAGTCCAAGACTGCTGCAGGGCAGTAGTGGGACACAGGCAGAACTGGGGAGCCTAGGCCTGGAGGAGCCTTTGGGACTGCAGGCCACGTAGGACGGACATTGGCAAGAGAGGTTCAGGCCTAAAAAGAATTCTCTAAAGAGTTATCTCTCTTTTAAACTACAAAAAAGGCAGAGCAGGTTCCAAAAATGAATCAGATATTGACTCTATTGAATATCAAAATGAGCATTTGCTACTCAGACGTTTTCATTTCAGCATCTGTCCTTGTTGAAAAACTGAAGGTTTTTTCCTTTTGCAATTTATTGTAAGTGCAAGTCCCAGGGAGGATAAGAAAGTAGCAAGCAATGCAACTGCAGTCTCCTTACATGGTTATCCTCCTGGCAATGCCCCAAGCTATTATCTATCACACCAGTCATTAACTTTACAAAGGATCCATTGCCCAGAGATAATTTCTTCAGCAACACTTTGGCATGTCAAGATAAGGAATGTTTCTTTACTGAGAGCAAGAGTGAGAATGTGAGAGTGCAGGAGGGCAGTGAGGAGACTACTGGGACACAAGGCAAAGCATTGAAAAAATTAGCATGGAAAAGACATGAGCAGGGTTCTAAGGGATTTCTCTCAACCCCACTTAGAGAGATGATTGAAGCATCAAGTATGGACGTGGAAGCAATGTGTGCAGGTTCTTATATGGTCTTTCAGGCCTAACTCTGAAAGAGCTAAAGGAGGGAGCACAGAGGAGGGAAAAGAGAGCAGTTTGAGAGTCACAGTTTTATCTGCTGATGAAGAACGTAAAAGGGAAGTGGGAAAAATAACAGTGATGGGGAAGGAACGAAGAGAGGTGAGAGAGAAAAGAGGGAAAAGCTTGGGAAGGAAGGAAAACAGGCGATGGAGAAAAGTGGGGAAAACATCCCTGTTCCGGATTGTGTCAAGGAAGTGATGCCAGAAGGAAGAAAGCAGTTCCCTCCTTCCCAGGGGACCATGTGTGGCAATGTTGGGTACTAGTGTACTTCTTTCTTCTCCTGGTGCAGGTCAAAGGAGATTGAGGCTGTTGGCTGCAATGGAGATGCAGCTTTCCTGGAGGTGCGAGTCCAGCAATTGGTGATCGAGTTCATCTTGAATCATGTGGATCAGATCTTTAACAACAACAGAAAAGCCAGCTCCGCGGAGAACAGTGGTAACAACCTCCCTGAGTCCCTCCACATATCACTTGCCACATACTCGAGCCCTAACTGTATCAACTGTATCCCCTTCCACTAATATTTCTAGCACATCAGCGATCTCTCCATGCTCACAGACGCTACCAAATCCACCTCAAGCCCGCATTACCATGATCAACTCGTTTTTGAACACTAGCCTTCTTCAGTGGGCTCTGAAATTGCCTATGTCCTGTCTTTTGCATGATCTCATCTGGCTTAACCCTTTCTGCAAAAGGAAGACCACCTGACTAGCTTCTTAGTCCTGGCCTCAGTTTTTTCTCCAAGCCCATCAGCCATAGTCTCAATTGTTTTCTCAGGCTCTCCCAGTTGTAATTCTTCTTACCAATAACACCTGCCCTATGGTCATCATTCTCACACAAGTCAGAGTTTCTAAGATGAGGCCATGCTTCTAGGGTGAAACTTAAGTGTGGGTTCTAAAAACATTTGCCTTGAACTTGGGACATTTTATAAAGCAAGATACTTTTTTTACCCCCTGGGACCTCAGCAGACTTTGGAGATGCTGATTTTGTTATTTAGCGACAGGTTTATTGTCAAAATGCTTTTAAGGAAGGGGGTGAGAGGTCTGGGGTCCAAAGTGACCTTACATAATTTCAGAAATTTGCTTCTTTCTCTTTCACACATGTGGAAGACTCATAGGACATGCAGAAGTGAAGGAGAAAGCACTCTTCTGCTTTCCAGAAAACAGAATCCCATCCATCTTTCTCTTAACTTGTGGCATTCCCTGATAATCTGTCCCTGGAATCCACAGTTCGGGTGAGATTCCCTGCTCGACCTGTAATACACCTGCTCTGCCAATGCCGGGGTCATTCCTTGTTTATATCCTGGCAGAAGACGTGGAGTGAGGAACTGCACCCATACTGACACAAGCATTACAGTAAAACACTGATTAGTAAATTGCAAAGCTAGTAAATCCCGAAACTGGCTCAGTTTAGCAATTACTGAACACTATTGGCCTTTAATAGTTACATGGTGTTTAGGAGAGGAATGTGCTGATCGTCCCAGTCCAGTTCTCAGTGGGGAAGTGCCCTGTTACTCAGCCCTCCTGCACAGGTAGTAGCTTGCACCCTGGCTGACAGCTTCAGCAGAAGGGCTAAGTACTGAAGGACTACAGAGACTGCACTTCCTTCACGCACCTGGAGGAGGTCTGTTTAGGACGGGGCTGAGGCCTGTTAGTGAGGTGGAATACGGGAAGCTGACTTTGCTACTGGCCATGTAAACAGAGACCTTCAGTCTCCAGGGCTATCAATTAGGCTCCTTTGCATAGCCCTAAAATGCATTAGGAAGGTAAAAGTAATGTTGTTTTCTAGAACAGCCCCCCTTCCCAGGACAAACTAGGGAGAAAGATGTGCAAGTGAGAGAAAGAACTTGGCATGTGGTTTGGATTAGGGACTGAACTGCTCCAAAATCTGTGGAGGGAGAGAGAAGAGGGGGGAACGTGCGAATCCTGTTGTTTTGCAGGGACGTCTCTTTGACACTAAAGCTTCTACAGCAGAAGCAGCAAGTCTGTGCAGCGCAGCCTTTGGCTGGTGAGCGTGGCCTCTGCTGGGAATGCACTCTGAGGGATAAGGTTGCTGGGGAGATGGAAGACTTATCTGACAAAAGCCTCTCTCTCTGCACGTGCCGCTCCTTTCCCCGCGCCGCAGGAGATGTTCCAATCAAATAAAGACATGAAGCTCTTGCTCTTGTCTCTCCTCACCCTGAGCTGGAATGTACTTTTTTGCTTTTCAGAGAACACACCAATTGTGAAAAGTCTGACCCTCCCCTCGGCCTCCCTACCAATGAAACTGGTGAGCCTGGAAGAAGCACAGGCCCGGAGTCTGTCAGCCTCCCACCCTGCTCGGAAGGAGAGGAGAGAGAACAGCTTGCCTGAAATTGTCCCTGTAACTGGCTCCCTCTTCCACACAGTTGTTGACCTCCCTGAGAGCAAGTAAGTGCCAAGAGAAATGTAAAGTGCAAATAGAAAGTGCAAGTGTCCCAGTAGGATCAGGAATGGGACATTTGTTAGGGTGACCCCCCAACACCTGCATGCATGAATTTACAGCCATGTCAAGAGAGTAAGTTGTGTGCCCTTCTCCAAAGAGACACAGTTAATCCTGAGAAGCATTTCAGAAGCTGTATTTGTAGCTCCTCTAGTCTTCACCCCCCCCACCACAGGACAGAACCTCACAGACCTCCTGTAGGAGGAATTGTCTTTGCAGCCTTGGTCAGCTCGGGATTTGGCTAAGCATGTGCTGGGTGCGGAGCAAGTTGGGATGCAGCTCTCCTAAGAGTTTCACCTGCTGGTGACTGCTCTGTAGCATGCCTGGTGATGCTGACCTGCCCAGCTTTATTATTCTCCAGGTTCCTCTGCCCTCAGAGCAAAGGGATAAAGCAAAATTTCACTCCTGCTGTAACACTAAGAGATATTTACATAAGGACACCTATGCTGAGAAGAGTCTGGCGTCAGCTCGCATTGCTGCAGTTATTGGCATTGATGCTTAGCATATTTATCTATCTATTGGTCTATCTATCTGTTTCTCTATGCCCACTCTACTGACTGGTTCTAAGAGAGTATAGCCTCTGCAGCAGGAGAGTCATTAATCTACTGACCCATAAAGCGCTGTAGCAAAGATATTTTTTCACACTTGACATATTAAAGCAAAAATGAGCCATCTAACAGAATACTGGCAAGAGGTACATGGATAGCTGGCTTAAGACAAAAGGGTGTGTTGTCCTCCTCCATTGTCTTCTCCTTTCTCACTTGAAGAGAACAGTCCTATCCCTGATAGGACTGAGATATTAATTCTCTTTGTAGGACTGGTTTGTCCTATTTGAGTACTGATCTGATAGAAAAGAAGTAGAGGGGTAGAAAGCTAACTCTGGAAAACAAGATAGGAAGATAAGAGAGTTCTTTCACTGAAAGTCAGAATGGGTATGAAGATATGTGAAACAAAGCTTCATGCAGTAATATACATAGGAGGGAACTGGCTTCAGATGTAGCATGATTTTAAGCTGGGATTTCCAAAGAGACATAGGGAACTGGTGTCCTGTTTCCTCTGATTTTTAGTAGAATTTGATTTAATTCCCTTAAGCCTCTTCCTTTTTGTTAGTACCTTACACTAACATATGATCATGAAACATGTATGGTAGAATTCAGGTTGGCTTGAGAAGCATCAATAGATAATTTGTATCATAGAATCCTTTTATTTTGCAAATGCATAAAAACTATAAGACATATGGAATTTGAAGGTTAGCTTTTTATGCCAGGTGATAGTTTCCATGAATTCTCTGGACTTTATCTTATATTCTATCATTAAAAACATATTAAAAAGTAGTTTTTCCATGCTGTGTTGCAAGAGAGTACTAGACTCAGAAACCTCTCCCTTCTGGAGGCAGGCATGGTTAGTTGGCCAGTCAGTCACAGCCGCGTTTGCATCATGCCACAGCCAATTCTGTGAATAGTCAGGATTCTTTCCAGTTATGACATGGTTAAATCAGCAAGACAGATAAATCACTTACAGATAAGCAAGAGTTGGTTGTGCAGCTATGCCTTGAATGCCTTAGAATTAAAAAAGGAGTGAGTAGAAAAGAGGGGCAGTCTTGAGGTGAGAGGGCTCAGGGGCTTTTGTGGGACACGATGAGGACAAAAGTGTCTGGGGTTTGGTAACCTCCTGAGCCCTTTCTCTTCCAGGAGAAAATTATCTACCAAATCCAAGAAATGGAAGTCGATATTTAATTTGGGCCGTTCTGGCTCAGAATCAAAGTCTAAACTGAGTCGAAATGGGAGTGTCTTTGTAAGGCCACAGAAGCTTTCTGGTAAGTACACACTTTTTGGTTAAGTATCTCTCTCAAGCAGCTTTGCCTGTGATACCGAAAGCATGGGGCAACCTGCATCCACATGACACTTATAGCATTAGACTTGAGATACGGTGTGAAAAGTAAATTAGTTGAAGAGTCACATGTTTGTTGCCTGCTTTCATAGACATCTTATTTTCATGTGACGGTGAGAAGCAGCCTTAAGAAGGGTATGCCAGACAGTTACAGTAAATATTCCTTTTTGGTCTTGTGATAAGCAGACTCCTATTGCCCAGCTGTCATATTTGAGCTCTAGGAAATGCTATGTGGTATATTGGGCTGGATTAGTCCACTTTTCCTCCCCAGCCAGACTCTTACTCCTATCATTCTTTACACAGCACTGGGTGAATGGCTATCCTTTCACTAAAGGGCATTAAAGAACTAATTGTGTTCAGCGTCTTTGTGATAAACAAGGTATCATGAGTTCCTATGGTTCCTGGCTCTCAGCACTCTGAGAGAAGTGATTACTTTTGCAGAATTTACAAGGAAAAAGATGTTTTTCCTCCTGGCTGTAATCCCAAATTCTAGCTTCTCCTGAGCTGCAATCTCTTAAGCACTGTACTTCCTAGAAACCTGCCTGGTAGTGCCAATTCCAAGCATTCAGAAATAATGAGCCAAGTCCTCAGAATCACGAAGTTGACTTAAAAAAATCGTGATATTTGAAAGAAAGTATAACTTCTTACCTAATTTCCTAAAGAAGTGATTTGAGTTCTAGCGTTATGTTCTAAATTTTTTTTTACCACCTCCAAGATTAGGAACTTGCTTTTTAAAAAGACGATGAAGGTGTGAAGGTGTGTTTTTTACATAATCTCATGACTCCAGGAGCTGGTGTTTGGAGGAACACTACCAGACGTTGCAAGACTTAGAATAAAATAGTTAAAGTTGGCAACATTAGCTGGCACCACATACAAGAGAGGCTGTATATGAAACAGATGTGAGCGTGAAGTCAAGTGCCAGATCCAACTATTTCTGGACCCCTGCCTTCCCTCTGTTTTGCATAGGCGGACAGCCTCACATAGGGTGCCCATGCAGGTCTCGGAATAGCTCTCCATCCTATTTTGATTGTGGGACCACCTTCTCATGTTGATAAGGAATATTGTGCTCCAAAATAGTGCTAACCCAAGGATGTCCACTACTGCTTGGAGCGCAGTGATGGTGGGTCCTCTTCCTTGTTCCAGGCACAGTACTACGTGACAGGAGGCTGTACATTTTCACCGACAGGACACAAAAAATCCAGAACCCTGCAGAAATTTAGGCACTGAAGTAGGGCTTTTGAGTAGCTGGGCTTTAGTGTTGTACTTGTGTGTACTCTCTGCTTACAGACTAATGTAAGGAAACCGATTACCCTGCTACTGAGACCCAGAATGTGCCTTAGCACAATTGTGTCCATGCATGCAAGTCCGTAAGTCACAAAAGACTTGCGTTTCACAGCTTGAGTTCTGTTACTCTGGGAATACTGAGCCAGTGCTCAAACATCATGCCATATGAACGTAAAAGGTAGCCAGAATTCCATCTAAGTGTAAAAAGTAGCTGGAGTTTCTCTGGTACTCGTGTGAATGTCAGGCCCAGAAGTCTTAATTATATAAACAAATCACTTTCTGCCTTACCTACTTCATGCAAGATTGTAAATAGCAAACTTTGCTCCGAGACATTTTCCAGAGCTCCACCGATCCTTTTTGGGCTGCCCGTGACTAAGTTGTTTTTCTTGCCAGCTACATTCCGCCCATCTCCGCTTTTCACAGCAGTAACAGTTATGTGCTTCCAAAACCTCTCAGAAATAGACCTGTAGAGTGTCTAGTGACAAATGACAGCTTGTTTCTGGACGTGTAAGTCCAGTGAGGATGACCAGGAAAATAGGTTCCTTATTGCCCTCCCTCATAAATTTCCGAGGGTGCTTGCTTGAGGCAGAGTATGCTCATGCCAGTGGAACAGTCTGGGAGTGCAATGCAAAAATAACCTAACATTTGCTAGAGGGAATGACAGGTGAGAAGGCATTAATGTCAGTTTAGTGAAAAAGTCCTCAGAACCACTGGCCTTATATGACAAGGGAAGGAATGGAGCATAATGGCTTTGGAGATAAAGTTTGTGTGTTTCACAGTAGAGAACATGCTGGCTGGCTGGGTTAAGTATAGCCCTGCACATGGCTGGCAGGTGCAAAACTGTTGTTAGCACTAGCTGATCCCCAGCTGTGTGGACAAATGTGGGCAATAAGATGCATGGTGTGGAGAGAGAGAGAGCATGCTTGAAAATGGAAAGTAACTTTGATGTCTGTCTGGTATGTCTGTCTATATGTAGCCTTTGTTCTTTATGGGCTGAAACCTGCAAAGCTACAGAATCTGAAGCCAATTTCTAAAACTCGTTTTCCACAGAAAAAGCAACTATTCGGCCCGCTAAGAGCATGGACTCGCTGTGTTCCCTGCCAGTGGAAGGTGAGATACATAATCTATACTGTAAGAGTGAAGGACTGGGCTGCTGTACCCTGTTCTTCTACGTATGCTGTATGTTGTTGTACGTTCTTGTGTGCTTATGGCATGGCCACTGGCACGTGCCCCCACCTTGGTGTGCATGCATTTTTAACCCTTATCCATGTACTTTTATGATGGTATATGCACCTGAGAATTATCACTGTGCCTGGCTGTATCTTTATTAGCAGTAGGATTGTTTTGATTCATTTTTTGATTACAGTGGGCACAAAGTTCCCATTTATAAGGAAAAAATATAAAGCAGTGAAAAGTGCTTGAAACCAGCCAACAAAGCCCAGGGCTGTGATCTTGGTGGGCAATGCACACCCGCACTAAAGTTGGCTGAGTTTGATTCAGAAGGGCCACTAGTGAAGCTCATAGATGATTTCCACTGAAGGGCATCCTATCCAGTCCCGTTTGCTGAATTTGAAGAAGCAGCCAGAGCTGGAGCCTAAAAGGTGTTCAGTGGCTATGGTCCCCGTCCCTCTGAGAAACTACGGGTGTTTACCAGGCCAGACCCCACCCCAGAGGGACTGAGGAAAGCTCCTCGCAGCAAAAGGATACTGCTAGTATTTTGCTTCCCATTGACACCCTTGTATGCTGCTCTAGGGGAGGACGAGAAAAGCAGATTCAAACGAACAGTGACTACTGGAGGGTTTTTTGTCCCAGTGATGAAAATACGGACAGGAGGCACAGGCAGCTCATACGACCTCAGCAAGGAGAATGAGTGGGAGCAGGAAGGATCTGCCATGGGGGCCAAAGGAAGTTCTGAGCTAAGTGAGGGGAAAGGTTTCCCCTGGGCACCACAGGCAAAGTCACCCCCTGAGCAGCTGAAGGTCTTCCGGGCAGCAGAGGATGCTGAAAATGAGCAGACTTCCCCCAAAAGTGGTCGCATGTTCTACACCTCAGAAACAGCTGCCAAGTCAGGCTTTCCAAGCAGCCTCTTTCCTTTGGAAGCTTCCCCTCGTCACCAGAGGAAAGCATTGAACATCTCAGAGCCCTTTGCTGTCTCTGTACCCCTCCGGGTATCTGCAGTCATCAGCACCAACAGCACCCCCTGCCGTGTATCTGCCAAGGACAAACCTTCGCTCTCCAGCCTGGAGGAACTGTCTTCTCTGGTGCCCGAGAGCCCAGCTCTCACTGTCCTGGAAGTGGGGAGCCACACAAGGACAGAGCAGGCCCCAGAGAGGAAGGAGAAACAACCTGGGCCTGCCCTGGCAACAGCAGCATCCAGAGGTAAAAGCCAGTTAAGGAGAGGTATGTGGAGCCCATTGGGCTAAAGCACAGCTGTGGAGCTACTGTGCAGCTCAGCGCCAGTGGCACAGAGGCTGCTGTGGCCTACTCATATGGTAGGAAAGAGACCAGTCTGTTCTGGGGTGGGTGTTGACAGTGGCCAGCCAGATGGGTGTTTGCTGCAGTAATGAGGCTGGGGAGGTGGGTGTTGTCACAGGAATGTTCTATTATGCCTAGAGGAATGCTAAAGCTGTCTGGCTCTGTTCATGCTGGGTTGAACCAGCACAACTTCCTTTCTCTCAGGGACCACTGTCAGGTATATACTCTTTGTCTCAAGTAGTTGTATAGATCATTCATGTTTCTAATCCAGATTCTCATCCAGAGGAGTTGGTGGCAGCCAGGAAACCGGAGTCCTTAGAAACTCCACAGCCAGCAGCAGAAAATCAGAAGACAATATGTGGGCAAAGCAGCAGCACAAGCAGCAAGAGCCCCCAACAATCCCCAGAACAAAGTCCCAGCTTGGAACCAATGCCAATCTTAGAGATTCATATGGGGCCGCTCCCTGCAGACAAGGCAGAGCAAGGGCAGCTCAAGATGAAAGAAGGCTCCTCAGAAGGCAGCTGTGGCCAGCAGGAGATCCAGAAGGCTAAAGCAGAAGAAGGGTTGCGTTTAAGAAATCTGGTAAGGAAGCAGCCGTGAGAAAAAAGGTGGGGGACAGTGTTAACAGTGGTGACTAGGAAGCTGTTGGAAGTTTCACTGTGTGTCCCTAGCCGTGGAAACTCAGGCTGTGACCTAGGCTAAGTAGTGTCAAAAACTGACCGTGTATCGATTTCACTTCTGTCTGCATGACTGTGTGTTGATTTACCTTTACGCAACTACCTATTGTCCCCTCTTGGTTTTCTCTTCCTGTAACTATAAAATTGCAGCCAGTACAATCTATCAGCTGTGAGACTCTCCAGATGTGAGACTCTCCAGGTGTCCAGTCATTCTGACCAGTCGTCTCTGAGCTCTCCTTCTGCTTTTGCTGTCCCATTTGTCAGTTCCTGGACAGCCTGAATCATTCTTTTCTCTCTTCCGTTCTCTACACACTCCAACATTTTTTTGGCCTCCTCCGTATCTCTAGCTGAGGTTTCTCAACAAGTTCCTTATAGTGATACTCATCTCTGGACAGCTATTTAAAGATCTGTTGGCATAGATCCTTAAATAGATTATTCATTCCAATGAAGTGTGATGCTGCATTTGCCAGCAGTGATTTGAGAATTCAGAATCTCTGGCAAGGCCAGGTGAGCATTGAATGGGAAGAGCTGAGAAAGAGTCTAGGACATTCCAGCTACTCATTCATCTTACTCTCATAGGTACAGGCCCCTTTTCAGGCCTCATTCTGGCTGTACCTCAGATGTTCTCTTCCATAAACCCATTTGTTTATAGACATATTTCCTTTGCTGGACAGGTAGCAGTGCATGTGTGTATATTTCCCCTGAGTGTGCTTGTCCTTAGAGTGAGCTTATCTCCTCTAAGAGGGCTCTGTCAGGAAAATGGAGGGATATCTTCTGATAAGTTGTGAGTTTCCAAGTCATGGCATTTCTTCTGTTTTTCAGACTGAAGAGGACTCCACCAATGCCCTGCTAGAACCTCTGTGGCCAGAGATACAGCAGGAACTGAAAATCATTGAACCTGAAGAGGAGCTCTTGCTCTTGCCAGCAACTGTCCCAGAAACAGGCCTAATTTCTGAATCCTCTTCTTCAGTACAAACAGATAGCTTTTCCTCAAGCACAGGGCAGGCTCCAAATCTGTCTGAGCAGAAATCTGCAGGCCGAACAGCACAGACCGCATCTCAAGTGCCTGCATTTGGTGCCACCAGCACAGAACAATCAGATGGCCTCTGCAAGTGCCAGTCTGAAGTGACTACACAGCACAGCTGTGCTCCAGCCCTACTGAAACCAGGTACTCTTCCGACTGCCACAACTACTCCAAAGAACCATTGTCCAATCGTGGAGGACAGCGTGAGTGAATGTCTCACTCCTCCCCTGGACTGGGAACTTCATAGTCAAGCAGAATTTAATGAGGTTCCCCAAAGAGAAGATTTTTCATGTTCCAAAGGGGCGTGTTCAGAGCCAGAGAGAGAAAAAGATAGCACTTGCCAACTGCAGAGGGAAAAGGATGATATCACCAGACTCCAGACTCAGAAGGAGAAGCCTGAGAAAATGACTGCTGATGGGAAGAACGCATTCTCCTCCAAGGTGCTGAGTGGAGCTGGAATCCAGGAGCCGAAGGAGGGTAATGCTGTTAGCAGAACTCATGATGCTGGTGACCAGGATGAAGAGGATACTTGGACAGATAATGTGCAGAGCTTAGAACTTGTAGAGCCATGGGAGGATCACCAGTGGGTCACAAGCCCACTCCATTCCCCCACCTTTAAGGACCTTCAAGAGAAGACGATACAGGAGTTACAGCCACATAGTCAGAGAACAGAGACAGGCCTTTGTCTTAGACCACGATTCAGTCGCAGCCTCTCCCTGGATAGTAAAGACACAGTGATGAGTCTGTGGACTATCCCATTCTCTTTCACCAATGTCACTGAACAGCAACAACCTTGCAGTGACATTCTGCCAGGGACTTGTGAGCTGCCCAAAACACAACCTGTCTCCCCCTCTAGCTTGGGCAAAGCTAAGCAAGATGAGAATGGCATGAGTTCTCCAGAAGAGCCTTTGAAACCTGAGGGGCCAAGGTATCCCCTTAGCAGAGAGGGAGAGCCAGCCAAACAAGAGGGACTCTCCAGAACCCCTCTTTCAGAGCCAGCCGAGAAGAAAGTGAACACAAGCAAAGAAAACCCTTGGAGCTCAAAGCCTGAGCTGTCTTTGCCATACCAAAATACCCCGGACTGTTCTTTACAGACAAAAAACACAAAGGAGGAGTTATCCACACCTCAGAACACTGCTTTGGGAGGAGAGACTGTTACCAAAGGACTGTGCTCTGCCACTGAATCACAGCTGAGTAATAAAGGTGAAGACACTCTGCGTAAAGGGAGGACTAGGCCATCATCCCTCAACTTGGATTCACTTCTTCCAGCCTCAGATTTCTTTACCTTTGAAAGCCTGGCCATGCCCTCTGCTGCAGGGAACCTCCTGTGTGGGCAAAAGGAAGTAAAATGCAGTGATTCTGTCCCATCCCTTCCAACTGCCTGCCCTGCTGTGAGTAAAGGTGTTCCCTGGGGGTCTCACTTCCGTGCCCATGTGGATCTAGACTTGGATTACCTGGCAGTGGCCCACGCCAACACTGGCCGTCGTAACTCTGCCCCTGTCAGTGTGTCAGCGGTCAGGACCTCCTTCATGATTAAGATGTGCCAGGCTAGAGCTGTGCCCGTGATACCACCCAAGATTCAGTATACCCAGATCCCCCAGCCACTGCAGGCTCAGAATGCTACTTCATCAGCAGAGCAGAAGGAAGCAGACACCAAGCAGGCCGGTAGGCAGGCTCACCGAGCAGCATGGGGCCATCTGGAGCCCCCAAAGAGTCCACTGACAGAGAAGAAAGCCAAAGCAGAGAAAGAAAACAGTGACCCAGCTCAAAAGGACTCAGCCTGTCCATGGCATGGCAGCGTCAGCTCTCCACTGGAGCCGTCTCAGTCCAGTCATAACCCTGGCCTGGATGCCCCTGTTCTGCGCCGGAAGCGCACCTCTGCGGGCGAGTCTGCTGGAGACACCCCACAGTCCTCAAAGATGGAGAGGCCATCAGGGTTCTCCAAGCCTTCCTATAGATGTAGGCCTGGGAGGCCCCAAAGTCTGATTCTCTTCAGTCCCCCTTTCCCCATTATGGACCACCCGTCCTCTTCAGCAGACTCCAGGGTGTTGTTATCACCCATAAGAAGCCCCACTCAGACCACCTCCTCGAACCCCATTTGTGGTGATCTGTCTGAAACATCGCGGACAACGCCTGAGGGGGTGACGCTGAGGAACAAAATGACCATCCCCAAGAATGGCCAGAGACTGGAGACCTCTACCAGCTGCTTTTACCAGCCCCAGAGGCGCTCTGTGATTCTGGATGGACGAAGTGGGAGGCAGATTGAATAGCAACAGCTTCCGTTACTCCTTGTCCCTGGTGGATGGGATGGTCTACACCAAGACGAACTCTGTTGCCATTCTTGCTGTTGTCATAACTATTCTGTGCAAGAAGGACCCAAAGCCTTTACTGTCTCCTGCAAAACATTTTGGGGGGGTCATAAGCTTTTTGTGTTCCCCTTTTCATTCCCTTTCTCACCCTTTCCTAGACTCTCACATTCTGCTTTTTTGTAAGACAGTCCAAAGGAATCTGCCTTTCCTCGTTATTGTTCCCTGTGAAAGTCTCATCCTCTCTACGGAAAAAAAAAAAAGGAACAATTAATCCTGGAATAATTAGAAAACAGGGCTGGAAGGAACGATATTCCAAAGAACTGCAGCTCAGGCTGCAGGGGCACACACCTGCCAAGGAGATGAGTCTAGATGTTTGGGACATCCTTCCTTCTTTCCCCAACCACCATTACAGTACCGTGCCTAACCATCTTGGGTGGCTGGTTTGGATAGGATAAGTAAACAGTGTAGATTGGTGATAGCTGAAGCAGAAGGTGAAGCAGAAGGTGAAGCAGGTGTGACCAAGTCACACACAGTGTGAGTTACACAAGGCTGTTCCAGTGGCAAACATACAATCTGAAGGTGTTGCCTCCAGGTCTTTTGTTGAATCAAAGGTGTGCTCTTTCCAGCATGTGCAAGGGCTGGAATAAAAGCAGCTGGATAGAAAAGGCCTAGTTGTTTTTTTTAATCTTCCAAATCTTGCTCATAAATTTTATTGTGCTCAGCCACACCTACTTTTGGCAGGCAGGATTTGGGTGTGAGGGAGTGTGTAGCTGGCTGTCCAGTGATAGAGGGTACTCAGGCTGGTATCAGTGAAAGCGAAGATATGGTCATAACAAAGGCCAGTATCAACTATTGTCATCATTGCTTAAAGCTAGATGACACCCTTGTTAACTATCTTCAGCTGTGCTCCACACTGCTATCAGCAGAGAAAAGAGAGGATCTTCTGATGTGCATGTCCTTGGGCTGTTGCCCTCTTGCACCCTGACTGACATGTCTGTGACCCTTACCACTGTGTGGCATGTCCCCAGGTGCTTCTTCTTCCTTTAAACTTCCTCTCCTTGTGATTTTACAGTTTCTTTGAGAGTATGGCTGGCTTTCACCTCCCTGCCCCGCAATGCTTTCAAACTGATTAAAAGTATGGTAAAGAAAGAGGATGATTTGTGGGACCACAGAACAGATCATGAACAATATCCTGAGAGGGAGATTTGAAGTGAATTAAACTGGCTCCTGAAGGGTCGTTATCATTACAGGCAAATACATGTTCATATAAGCACCAGCTGCCATGGGAATAGAATTAAAGATTCCATTATAAAGCCTCTAACTCTGAGTTAGCTGCAGGCTCATCTTTTGCCCAGTACGTGACTGTGAGCGATTGCAAAGTCAGGTACAGCCCATGCTGTCTTTGCAATTTAAATGTCACTAGTGACTATGGAGGAGATGGGAACACAGGTGTTGCTGCCAGCACTGACATTGTCCCTGTAACGGTGCCTGTAGGGGCCATCATTCATGGAGATCTTTCAGTCTGTAGGCCTTCTGATGGATATTATGGGCTATAGCTTAAGCAGTAACTGAGCGGCTGGTAGGAAGTGCTACAGCCACCCCAGTGGGTGTCAGTCAAAAGGCCCCAATGTCTGCATGTTTAGATCTTTATCTGATAAAGGCTGCTGCAGTGCTGGCATTTTCAAATTTGTAGTAAACAGCCCATGGTCTGTATTGAATGTGCCACTTAATTAGCGTCATTGGGGCTGGAGGGCCCAGATTCTTGATACTGCTCTCTCTTCACTCTCTGATTTCTCGAGGGGAGAGATGCCGGAGTACTTCTGAGAAGTTCTGCACCCACATATGCAAGGAATAAATCTTCAGCTGCGTATTCTCTTGTTTTATCCAAAGGGAGTGTGAAAAAACAGCAGGCTTTGTCCCTGTCACCAGTTGCATATTTGATTGTCCCCATTGTATTCTGCACTTGCAATATAAGAGGGAACAGAGTAGAGAACTAAGTTTCCATGTTTTGTTCAGGTAGAATGTTAATTCTGAAAAGAACCTAGAGTTCTTGTTTGGGTTCATGTTCTCTCAAAGGTGTCAGCAAGTGCTTTACTGGGGCAAACAGTGGAGGGCAGGTCCAGAATATGCAGCTGTATAACAATTGTATTATGCTGCTCCCAGAGCATAAAATCCCTTTGCAGCCTCCCATTATAACAAGGGGATTGCTAGTCCTCCGTGTTCCTCATAGTTAGTACAGCTCTGTGCTGCCTCTACATGGCACTGAAGAACCTTTTTTTACTGTCTCATGGGAAAGCTTTTAAGAACCACAGGAGAATTAATGGCAAATGACTTGGAAAGGTGTGATACAAGGTACTATGGTAAGGCTTTACAGAATGTAATTGTAGTGGAAATGGTGCCCAAATTTTGTGTTGTCAATGACATGGTTTGCTTTGGGCATGGATTTATATTCTCCTCTCAGTTACTAGAAGTTCTGACTGCCAAGGCATTTGGAACAGAGCCAGTTAGACTCAGAAAGTAAAGTGTCAAAAGAAAAAGAAAATGTGATGAAGCTGTGGCATGTTAAAATCATCCTTTTTTTTCTTCCCTCCTTTTTCTCATATAAGCTGATCTATGAGCAAGAAAAGAGGTCCTGACAACTTGTGTATAAATATTCTGTCTTAATTCTTGACTGTGTTCCATTAAGTAATAACACTGTTGCTGTAATGTTGAAATTCCTGCAAGAAGACAATTATTAGAAAATTTTACTTAATACTAAATATTGGCCTCAACTAAAATCTGGATCCAGACCGTAGTTTCTGAAGATGCTTCAGAATTTGAGCTCAGATCCCGGTCCTGGATTTTAATTAACCAGAGTTTCTGAAATGAGATCTAAATTTTGTAGGTTGATCCCATCTCCATTTATAGTTCCAGCTCCACCCTTCAGCTGATATATCAAAATTCCACAAGCTTAGCCAGGTGGACTTAACAGAAGCACATCACTATGGCGTGTGGTCATGACTGGACTTGTATCAAGAGAGCTGAGATAAAGCCCTAGATCCTGCAGAACTGGGAGTATTTGCTTAGTTTGTTGCACAGGTGTCACCACGCCCAACTCCAGGCCCAAACTTCCGTAGAGTTTGTAATGCTTGATAGTGGGTTCCTGTTGACACTGATCGTTGCTGTTGGCTTCAAGGACCACGGCTTAATATAGCTGCACAGAGCCAGAAAGCAGAAGTCATCTCCCATTCAGTGGTGCTGATTGTGTGGTTGCAGCCTCCTGAGACCTCAATTTATTAAGCCATTTCTGAGATCAGCTTCAAGGTCAGGCCTGATGTCACTTTCACTTTAGAGCCCTTATGCTGACTTCTGCCACCCTGCAGTAGCAGACTGAACCAGACTGGAAGCTCTTCTGAAGTTTGGGGTTTTGGAGTGGTACACTGGGGGTACCAAACTCCTGCCCTCCAACACAACCCCCTCAAAGCTGGAGGTTCTGAGAAAGGTTTTCTTTTTTTTTCTTTTTTTTTTTTTCCGCTTGTTCCTGCATTTGTTTGGGTTTTCCTGTGAAGTATTGAGAAGGATAGAACAGATTTAGGGGAGGCGGGTCTGGCCCAGAATTTGATGTTTTTGAATAAGGAAGAGGTGAGTTGGTTATTCTTGGCATTACAGAAAGGATCTTCCTGATTAGAATCGTGCATCACTTGGAGACCTCTGCAGAGTCTGCAAGGGTCACTCCACAGACCCTGGAGAACATTCAGTTCTCCTGAGACTCTGAAGAGTGTAAAGGCCATTTTTCTGAGTTTGCAGATGACCTTAGTCATGATTTAGTAGCTAGCAGTTCTAGCAATGGGAGACAAGAAAGGTGGCTAAATTTCACTTCTACCCATGTAAAAAGGGGTTTTGTGCAGCTTCTGCTAAGTGCAGGAGTGTGAAGTGCTCAGTGTGAAATGGTTGAGCTGGGAAACTCCAGCTGGAAAGGAATGACGTGAATAGGTGTTAGCTCTTGTGGGAGCTGCCTCATTGGAGAGAGGGTGAGCAGAAATGAGGATTGTATTTTACCTTATAAACGACATTCCTCTGGGCTGCCCTTCCCATCCTATCCTTTAATAAAGAGTGAAGCACTTCTCTTTTCACCTTTAGGGCTTTAGAGGCACTTAGGTCTGCGATTCCCTCGTCCAGAGTCCAAAAGGTGCAATCAATCTTTTTTCTTTCTTTACAAATTCTGAAATGCCTTTAGTGGTGAATATTGTGTTAAATTTTTATACATATATATATAAAAAGAACATTCTATATAAATATATTAAAAAGGAAATGTAATTAAAATGAAGGAATTGTCTAAATAGAATCCTGCACATCTGTGAAACTTGGGCAGATGTAGAGAACTGTTTCTGCTGCAACTTTTCTAGCACTGAGGGTGAGAGATCAAATGGCTTTTTGCCCAGGGAGGAGAAGCTAATTAGTTATGGCTAATCTGTGGTGGGCAGAGGCCCTGAATACACTTTCCTGAGCAGGATCAGGTCCTGAGAGAGGAGAGGTGAGATCAGGGGAGACCAGGGTGCAAGAACTGATTTAGCTTTCCACCACCAGTTTCTCTCCCAGTCCTTGAAAAAGAAAACTATCTACTGGAGCACATATTCCTTTCTGGGCATGCTGAGGTTTTGCAGTTGTCCCTTTTGATTCCCTCAATCTCTAGGGAAAAAAAATATATATATAGGGGCTGGAGAGAAGCTGTAGCTGATTCCAATTCTGTTTAGCTTTTGCTTGCTCCCAATCCATGTAAAGGCTTGCTGATAACTAACTAATCCTGCTCCAAGCATGGAATGGAAAGCTTGCCATTGCGTTCAGTTGGAGCTGGAGTAGGACTTTCACAGGACTGGAAAGGAAGGAAAGCGGGATGCAAGTGCTTCCTGAGGGCTTCATGCACTAGCCCAGATCTTGGATCTTATTCTCAGAGGCGCTGGTCCCCTTCAAAATACTAATTTGTTGCCAGGTCAAGGGAAGGGTTGGAAATCAGACACTGTGAAAAGGACTGTCCCCCATGTACCCACACTGGTTATTGGTTTTTTCTCCTGCTAGCCTCGATGGATTGTATTTTTGTTAAGCTTTGTTCTCTGTGTGGACTTGCCTGCCTTTGTGCCTTATTGCTTAAAAAAAAGAAAAACAACACCCACAAAAACAGATGTTTTGCCAGGTCTCAGCCATGAGATTAAACTGGAGTTTTTATAGAAACAGACCTGTGCCCTAGTGATATTTTGAAACATTTTCTTTCTCCTCGATCTGCTTTATGAACACAGTGAACAAACGCATCTGTCTTCCTCTGACATGAAGTTTGAGCCCTTGTTTTCTCATGTGAGTGGCCAGGAAACTGAGCTGGTCTTGTCTGGGTTTTAGTTGTGGGGGTTCAGCACATGTTTTTCTTGTTGAGGCTAATGCAGGCTGCTGCCGCTCAGCGGCTCTGAAAATGAAGGGAGGGCATGGAGACTTTTGTAGAATTACCATTATCTGAAGTGCTTTAATGTTTCCAAGGCTGAAATTCATTTTTCTTCTTACCATTTCTAGTTCTGCCAGGCTGAAGTTTCAGTGATGCACAACCATATCATCCCATATAGCACAGCTCCTGCAGAACTCTGCCTTGTCTGCAAGAATGTAGAGAAACAGAAAGTAGAGGCTAGAAATGCTTTGGGATCCCAGCACTTGTGGAGGGTAAGCTAAGGTGGAGCAAGAGAAGGTACTACGAATCCTTTGGTGCATTGTGTGTGCAGTTCTGTTGATTTGCAAAGGATAAGCAGCTTAACAAAACTGTGAATTCAATTTCCTGGTTCTCTTGTGTTCTTGCAGTCCCTCACTGTTTCAGTCTCTGAACTTAGTGTGGAAGTGGACGTTGTTAGTAGCTGTCCCTTATTCCACACTGAAGAAAAAAGATGCAGGTTCTCATGGTTGTAACCTCAGTGGGCATATCCGCAGTCTGACCTGCTCTTTATTCCCCTCCAATGGCAGAAGAATCATTAAGTTTAAAGAAATACATTTTTCATTTTTCAACAGCTGAGCCCAGGACTTGACTCCCTTTCCTACCTCCTCCATGACTTCAGTTTCCCTTTAGGAAAATGCCTGGGTTGTGCTTCCTGCTTACCATGGCAACTGGCACACAAAGTAGGACAGAAAGGCATGTGTGTTGAACTCTGTAATTGTTGTTAGCCCTAGCTAATTATGAGTGCTGTACAAGAAACTGTATTGTTGTATTCTTTTGCCACAGAGTCTAATAATGACTTGGCCATAACAGAAGAGGAGAATCCCAAACTGCCCCCAGCATTCCCATGATTATGGAAATTAGTGCAAATGGTGCACTAAGATCTGTACATCCTCCAGTGAGAATTGTGCCCCAAACCAGCATATTTTAATACATGGACATGCCTGAACACAATATCAGCGAAGCCTGTTTGCCTGTTTTCACATCACAACAGGTTTGAAAGTCTGACTCAGGATGAATATCTGTGTGAGTTGTACTGGAAGCACCAATTATAGCATCCTAGATACTTTCAGCTAAGTCAGTCAGTCAGCAAGATTAAACAAACTCCCAAAGTGGCTGTTTACTAGGAGACAAGCTAACCCAGCACCAAAGAGAGCCCAATACCAGTGTTTCATGCATCCTTCTTGCAACACACGAGTCCATGCAACAGTGGACAATGGGACATGTCCAGCAGGCGTCCCACTGGATGGAGCTAAAGGTAGACTGGCAGCAAAGGAGAGGCAGGCAGTGCAAGGAAGAAATTTAGCCCGGTGGGGGAGACTTAGGCCGCAACAAGGCAACGACAACAACAAGAGCAGGACCATAGTGGCTAAGATGGAGAAATGCAGTGAGGTCTCTGAGTTCATTTTCTGCCTGTGCAGGAAAAACTCTTCAAAGAATATGTTGTGTCTCCACAGGGGTAAAGGGATGAACAGTTTTGGAGGTAAGGATTAGAAAGGAGCAGGAGCTGCAAAACTCAGAGCTGGCCGGATCCTGAAGATCCCAAAAGCTGGAGAGAGCAAGAGTGTTAAAACAAGGTTCATTCCCTGATAAAAATGGATAGCTATTTTCTTGTGTCTTATTTGCAAACAGCAGTGCGAGAGGAGCTAGGTTTTGCATATGTAGAAAATTCATAGGAACTCCATCCTGAATTTTAGGTCCAGACTCATCTTTAAACCGGACCTGTTTTCTCTCATAGCACATCTGTTGCATGGAGCGCATATCTCTCTTTCACTTAAATCCTTTATCTAAAAGACCTGGAAATATTTGAATTCAGTGAGAGGAAATGACTTCAAAGAAAACTCAGTAGCTGCTTAAGAAGGAACCAAAACGATTAGGAACATGAGAACAACCAGACCTGGAGAAAAAAGAGTAACACACATGATTATTATTAAACAGTGAAAGATTCCAGATAAGTAAAACCTGAAGAGGAAAACGCAAAAAAAAATCCCCAAGCCATAAGACAGAGCTGAAACAGTCTGAAAAGTGTCAGCTAACAACTTCTTTCCTTCCTTCTTCGTAACAGTCAGGAAGAAGTTTAGATCATCAAAAATAGGTGCTCACAAAGTGCTTTACTCACCTTCTTTTGTATCATGAGACAATTTGTTTTAAACACCAAGTGTTAGAGAGTCGCATAAGAGAAGTGCGAAAAGACTGAGCTAATTCACAGAAGCATCAAATATGCTGCAGGGGTTATTTGAAGTGGCTTTACCCTTTTCAGTATCTGTGCCAGCCACAATACTCTCCTAAAGGTGAGCATTATCTAGTAAGAATAGACAGATGGAAGGTTTTCAGTCCTGCATTCACTCACAGTAAGTAACAGCCCTGGGGAGACAGAGCAGATCACTGCTCATCACTTAGCTGTCGTGTAGAGTTTATCTCAACTAGTGAATGTGCAAAACTGCAGGTGACCTTGCCAACGCTGGAATTTCACCTCGCGTGCAAGCTAACATAATCAGAAACTCCCTCACCTTTTCTTCCTGTTGAGGATAAACCCTCAGCAGTCATCCTCAACTCCTCACACTGCAGGCTCTCCTAAAGAGAGATGCCTCAGATTACAGGGAGAGTTCTTGCAAGAGGTTCCAAGCATACCGCACGTTGCAGAGGCTTTCCCCAGTTGCCAAAGAGAGCAGGGCTGCCAAGGGGTGGGAGAAGGAGGCTTCATTTATGAGCTAGTTTTAAGTCATACTTGGTCCCAATAAACTTGTTTTTGGCAGAATTCTCTGTTGCAAGGAATGTGAAATACTAAGATGCCAGGGCGGTGAGCAAGATGGGAGATAAATCATCTGGGGCAGAGGCTATAGCACACCATTGACGCTGTGGTGCTGGCTTATGCAGTAAGGCTGGTAGCCAGATGCAAGCACAGCACATAGTGGCAAGGGCATTGTGTGCCGTACGTGAAATGACAAGGTAAGGAGACATACGACCTGTGAAAGAGAGTCTGTACAAAGAGATCTCATGTAGAAGAAGAACAAGCAGCCCAGAGGGAGGGGAAAAGAGGAAGGGGCAGACAAGCCTGTCGGAGAACTGGGTGCAAGGCACAACATACACAAAGGCAGACCCACGTTCCCATGGCCTGAAGGAATAAACATTTCAGTACTGCCAACTCCAAACGTTCAAGACTTTGAAAGGCATTGGGTTATGTTTCTGCATATATGGGAGGGGAACAGCAAGGATTTGGGATTCTTGTTGACTTGTAGGCCAAGCTGTGCAGTCAAGTATGAACAAAGCATGTGTCTCGATAATACTCTGATTTCTCAGAGCTCCAGATATTGCAGTAAATTTATGTTCTAAAATTACAGCTGGTAACTCCATGGGAAAATTGAAATATGCTTTTCTGCCAGGAGAGAACTGTGAAGATCCACACCTACAGAAAAGAAATACACACAGTAAGTCTGCAAACAAAGCATGTAACTCCCACTTGGAGCTTTTTTTTTTTTTCGGTCTTGTCTTAGTCTGGCAGTTTTCATGTTTTTTTCTTCATCTTGTCTTAGTCCGGCAGTTTTCATCCTATGCATACTGCCAGCTCTGAAGACTGCATACATCCATACCCTCAGGCAGTGATCCAAACAGCTGAGAATGAGCAGGATTTCTTTACAAGCCTTAGCCAACACATGAACCCGTTCCCCACCATTCCTTTCACTGACCCCATTCCTTCCTCACCCTCCACTGGAATCCCAGGTAGGGGACTTGCAGAGATTGGATCAACCTTCAAAAGTTGAAAAACCAGAAAAAATTGGGCAGAATTTTTTACAAGCCTGCTCAACATCATTCTGCCATCAGCCCGGTCTCCTTTGCCCTCCTTAGCTCAGGCAGATAAAGATGGGGTTTTCTGGTTGCATTGTGGCTTGCTTGGTACTTTTGCATAGATCCACTATTGCTCAGATTACTTGCTCCTCACAGCCTTTATTTTCATAAAACACAAATCATAACGTGTCAAGTGAGCTAAAGACTCAAGAAGCAGAAAGCAAATTTGATGAACCAAACTTAATTGGCTCAAACTGCTATTTATGCCATAGGTCAATAGAATCATTTGCAACTGGTTGGTGAAGATAATACTGCAACAGGCTGTTCAAACTAACCTCAGTTCAGCCTACAAAACCCTATAGTACATTTTCTATATTGAGAGCAGTGCCATAATGACGCCACATTTAGAGGCAGGAGGATGTAAGAACAAGACTACAGGGTCTGAAGCAAAAAAATAGGAAGAAAATAAGATTTTGAGATTTCCTGTTACAATGGCCCTAAAATCGTCATCCTACAAGCTGTGTCTCCAGCCATGCCATATGCAGAGGGCCTTGCTACTCCTTAGAAGGTCCCACATCCAACTATTTCAATATCACCCATTTGCAGAGCTTTCTGAGTTTCAGAAATTATTCAAGCAAGAGCTCTTTATGAGGGTGTGTAACTATCCACCTAGGCTGCCATGACTCAGAAGCAATTGAAGGGATTTGATCAAGCAAGGACAGAGTCTGTGTGCACTGACACTGTCCCTCCTCCCCTGTTTCTGTTCTCTCTGCTAGAGATTTTTAGTTCATAATAAGAAACATTGAACCAAGTCTTTTCTATTGCTGACTTACTTAGGGAAGCTCTGGTTCTCTTTAGATTTCTTTAGTTCTAGACATTATTTATAGCTTTCAGCAACATATGCAAAAACAAACAAACAAAAAACAAAACAAAAAAACCCACCAAACCCAAACCACTGACATGGTCTATCTCACAAAAAAGGGGCTTAAGATGAAAGAAAGTCCTTATGGCAATTCCTTAGTGTCCAGGCTCTTAAGGAAAGTCACCATCCCATTAAAACTGTGAGCCTTCCACAGGTTCTCCCTGTCTGGAGTGGCTGATCCAAGGGGATTTTCCTTTTTGAAGACACATACACACAAAACCCCACCCCTCTGTGTTATAGGGAACTGTTTCTCCTTTAAGCTATTCACCCTCTTAGCTCTGCCTAGTTCTCTCCCCCATTACACCACCAAGGGACTATTCAACTACAGACTTTTTGCAGCACTGTCTGTCAGGGCACAAGGCACTCAGATCTTCAGAATGGGGTTACAGGTATTTAAAGCCTGTGTTTGCACTGCCCAGGATGTCCCAGATAAAGACATTTATCATTTCTCCTTCCTGAACAGAGGATCCTTAACAAGAAGGAAATTTCGCTTCCACTTCTTTTTAATTAGTATTTTGAAGAATATACAAAAATGAAGACTCAAGGCAACTGGTAAGCTCTCACAGCCTGGCCCAGTACACATTAAGAAGAGGTTTCACCTTAAAACATTCTATACAGGAGCATATTTCACACAACACATGTAACTGCTCAAGCATTCATTAGGAAAGACACCAGATCAGTCCGAGCCAAAGTAAACAGCCTCTGTTGAACTGAGTTATTAACTCTTGATGCAAGGACCAGATTTGGTTCACTCAGTTTCTTGCTTGCATTTTTCACAGGAGTTACTTGTCGCCATTATTTGCAGTTTGTTTCACCTGATCTGGGGGTGTGGAAGGAGGAGTACACAGGGGACATGACCATATGCATGCAGTTAGCTGAAGCAGGAAGCCTGGTAGTTTAGGGATGTGGCAGCCAGTTCTGCAAAGCCAAGTACAGCACAGAGCACTTGTGTTCTGCACACATTGTAGTTGGTCGTGTGAAATTTTGTACAAAGTACATACAGCTTTTTGAAAGAGTCATTGTTAGCAAAGAGCATTTCATGGACTGGCACTTCTGAAGGTAGGAGTGCATGCAGAGTTTCATCAGTGACAAGAGGTAGGCTTGAATATAGGCAGCATATGGCAGAGGAATAAGCTAGCCTTTTACTGGGCTTGACTAGCAACAGACTCTTTATCTGTGACATGTTTTCGCTGCTGACACACTTAAACTCTTACAGAATCTGCATTATTCTAACGCAAGGGGTGACAGAGACCAGGAAAAAAGTAGAAAGATAAAATATATCAGAGAGCTCTGCAGTCTTCTCCCTTGCAGCATCCATCTTTATTGGCCACAGGAGGTTACCATTTTGCTCACCTAGCCCATGCCACAGCCTTTGGCATTGTAATTTACATTCAACCTAGTTTTAGAGAGATACTTTTCTGGAGCAACTATACACGAACTGGACATCTTCCTTTCCAATATCATCATAGAACAAATCGGATCATCTCTTATTTTATGCTCCAAGGATTTCTTACACAGCAAAAGGATTGTGTCTCAGCCACAAGGCATGAAGGCTACAGAACAAGAGACAAAGAACGGACAAGAAGATTCTTTCCTGTAGGCATCACCTCAGTGTGTCAAGTTTTTGGAGGGGCAAAAATAGTATGGGAGAGGTAGTGGGAAATTTTTAAAATCCTCAGTGGCCCAGGAAGAATGGAGCAGGAGATGAATGAACGCAGTTTCATTCAGTGCTTCAGGACAGCATGGAGGACATCAGACCTTCAGTATTCAATTCTGCTCCAGTAGAACATAGTACCGAGGAGAACCCAGAACTGAAAAGACAAAACTGTTAACTTTCTTTACTCCCCAGCCTTTCCCGTCAACCCCACTTAGTGCTATTGGTAGGAGAAGGCAGCAGAAATTCTTGCTAAGTGGAGTCTGTACAGGCACAGGAAGTTTAAAGCTTTTTATCTGCATAGAAGCTTCACAGTGAAGCAAGAAGATATATACAGATGTAACCTCATGCAGTCTTTGAACTAGATACTAAATTATCTGCCATCTCCAGTTTAGATGATCCAATAGCCTTCACAAACAAGTATTTGAAAGGTGTGTTTGCTGTACTGTATTGCTGAGACTACAGCAGGCCACAGCATGCTGAAAGGCCATCTAGCTCTTCATATGTGGAAGCCAGAATGGAGGGGAGCTTCTAAATGTAGCCCTATTACTGGAACAGGCTACCAGCAGATTGGGGATGAATGCATTGCTGTATTCCACAGATTTTTTAAATGCATCCTGACAGCAACCTCCACCCATCTGGGTGGGGAATAGCAAGGAAAGAGAAGAGCAAATAAAAGCAAATATTAAGTACTCACAGTCCAACAAAGGATGGCAAAACCAAACCAGGCAACACCCCCGGCTTGTCTATTCATTGGTCCAGAAATAGCATCATAACAACCCTGTAAAACAGCCATGAATGAGTCAACATCAGCTTTGAACTTGTACCACTAGGCTACAAGCTCATCCACCTCTGGGATGGAGTGAGGTGGCATGCTCTGCTACTATTGCAATTTGGGTAGCTCACAGGGTCTCAAGAAGTCGAGCCAGAGCTTCACTGCTTGTTGACAGCCTGCAGATAGCCTACCTGTTTCTAGCTACAAATATTAAGGAGCCCAGCTTAGACACTTCACAGATGCTTTAGTGTCCCATTCCCTTGCCAGATTTGCGTACATAACCAGATACAGCCAACATAGGGTTGGCATCCAGAAACAAGAAACTGCATGCAAATTTGGAAACCTGAATGCCTTTTAAAGATGCTTGTCTTGTTAGTGCAGACGTTCATTTATATGACCCAGCAATCTGTCCGAATAGGAGAAGCTGGTCTACTGAAAAGTTCAACTAGTGATGTGTTCAGTAACTTCATCCACCACAGGAAACCACTTTCACTTTTCAGAGCTGTCCCACTATTTGGTTCCTGGAGTACAGCAAGACAGCCTCTTCTTCCTCCCCCGACATCAGCTCTTCATTAGCTGTGATAACTTCCTTGCAGAGAAGAACTGTTGACTAGCTCACACATATCATACGCAATCATCTTTGAGCTAAGTTTGAATTAGCTAATATCCACTTACAGATCAGGGGTGCTACTTTTTATTGGTGCCACTGCAAAGGTTTTCTTCCTTCATGCTCTCTCCATCAGGAAAGCCTTTATCACAGTCTATCCTGGATTCAACAACATGGCCAGGACCCTACAGGCATTGCTTTGTCTCCAGAAAGCTTTTGAACATGGGTAGCTGACAGTGAAGGAGGAAGGCTATTCCCTGTTTCCTCCCGTTCCAGAAAGACACTATGGACCAACATGCATAATGGGATGAAGTGGAATGGTTCTTACGTTGCTGTTATAGTAGCCAGGCACTCCAAGCTTGCAGCCGTCCAGGTTGACAGGAGACCCTTGGGCATTCATGACACAGCACTGGTGCGGCCAAGGGTAGTCAGCATCGCTGTACGTGCTCCGGAAGGCGGATGCGTACTCCTGCCAGTCGGACGGGCCATGCACACCACAGCAGTTATTCTGTCCCAGGGGGAGAGAAAAGAGGATGGTCTCTACAGGCCAAGGTTATAGACTAGAACCTGCACATGGCTAGTTAGGCATTAACCACAGATTTATGGGAGAGATTTTTGAAGTGCCTGCCTTTGACAGATTGTCATCTGATGAATAAGCAAAATAGGGAGTTTGACAGGACTTTGTCTGAGGTTCAAGGCAGATGCCATCTTTATTACTGAGCAGTCCCAAGGAGCGCTTGAAATTCCAGAGCTGCAGAACATTTAGTAATTAGTGAGAGTTTTCAGTGTTATTATTACCTGAAGCATGAGATTATTCCATGTTTTTGTGACCCCTTCACTCATCCATTTGTCATTGTTATTGTCTGTCTCTAGTTTCTGATACCTCTCCAGCATTTGCTTCAGGAAGAGATTTGGAGTAAGCTACAAGATAAACAGAAAAGAACGCAGGGACTATATAAATAGGTGGCCAAATAAAGCAAATATAGAGTTATTTGGGTGGGGTAGTTTGGTTGGTTTGTTTCAGTGTCCTGGTAGAGAATAGGAATGCTGCTTTGGACCCCACCCCACCCGAGTTTTACAGTTTTATACATAAGAAGATAAAGAGGAGGATTTGAGGAGCAGGAACAACAAGAAGACATAGATCTTGAGCATGACTCTTAAGCAGGTCCTACCAGATGTCAGACCAGAGGAAACGTGCAGAAGCTATGGGTTGCATTTGATATATTGCTTGGAACTAAAACACCACAGGTCATTTGCCCCCTGCCAATAGCTGCAATAACCCATGTTATCTTTTCCTTACTAGTAACATTGCCTGCAGCAATTCTGAAGGTTTGCTTTCCACATCTATGATAGATTAATCAGTCTGTAGCTGAAAGACTAAACACTGTACTGGTGATTCAATTAACCCACGCTATTATTCCTTTAATAGCAACATTAGAAATATTTTTAAATGTTACAAATAACAAAGTTATGTTAAAAATAACAAAGTTATTTCCTTGATCAGAATAATGAAGTTAGAGACTTTCCAACAGTAGCCCTTTAAGCTTACACTGTACCACATATGCCATTTCTGCACTGAACAGGAATACAGAGTGCCAAAACACTGCAGTATTTCTCAACTTAGTTGCAAGAATACATGAGGAAAGCAATACTCACAAAATCTCGGTGAGTTGCTGCTGTGATGCAAGAAGCCATTTCAAATGCATAAGTGATCAGCATCAGAATGATATACTGTGGGAGAAAGAGAGCAGAGTCAGCTTTTGGAAAAAAGTTAAGCAGTTTCTTCTGGTCCTGTATTTTCCAAGGCCAAGTCCGATCCCCTGCTCAAGCCAATTGAAGCTTATAAGCCCTTTGCTGAATTCACCTAGCTCTATTTTAAATGAATTTATCTTTTTGCTTTCATTACTCACTTTAGGATGCTCCAAAGCCTCAAAGAGTCATAAAAACAGCATAATTTAAGCTGGGAGGGAACTCTGGAGGTCATCTTATCCAAACCCCTACTCAAAGGAAGGCCCAGTGGTTTAAAGCTTTATGGTTCTTGATAGTCTATTTCATCTACTTCCTGAGAATAGTCAGACATCCATAACGCTAAGTTAACATGCTCATTTTTCCAAGCAAAGGAAGCCAGGCTGTCCTAGTCTCCTCATCCCTTTCCATTGCTTTGAATAATCCTGTAGCTTGCTTCCGTTTGTGATCTTCTTTCTTGAAGGCATACATCTGGAATTGCTCTCCATCTCACAGACGCAGTTTCATGAGAACCTCACTGCATGGCATTAATACTGTCCCGTCTCTAGGGGAAATACTTTACTTAATATGTCTGACGATAACTTTTGCCATTTTCATTGCTGCATTTTCCTGGTAACTTATATGTGCCACGTCCATTCCTTCCACTTCCACCTGCCAGCTAAGAACTTTTCAGCAAGAAGCTATTCAGTCCTAGCAGGTGAGCTTGTACTTTGGGAAAATAGAAGGTGTAATTCAGTATGTTATTCAGATTCTCCTGACTTTGCATCATCAGATTTCCAAAGCACTCCTCCTTTGTGAGCAGATCCTTAATGAGAACTGATCCTCAAGAACTACTCTCATAGTCTTTTTTACTGCTTCTCTTCCCTTCTCAGTCCAACCCCTCTCAGCCTTTTGCATATCTACTTCACTGTTCTTGCGTTTCTGATTTCTCCTCTCACAAGTCATAATGTTCTTCTCAGATCGGAGGCATCTGTTTTCCTCTTATCCAGCTTCCACCCTTTGTACCCCAGGTTTTCCCCTACAGCCCAGCCTTGGGTTTCAGCCAATACATCAGAATTCAGAGTTAAGGGAATTCTCTTCCATTAGCAGTTAGCTGGCTAATTCCCTGGCACAAGAGTTCACATTTCTAAGTCTTTCCTGTTTAAATAGATACCCCACCATTCCACATTAATTCAAGTGAGAGCTAATACCAGAATTTTCAGCTCTACCCTTCTTTAAAGCAAGCACCTATTAACTTTCACAACTGTCAACCTGAAGGACTGAGTAAGAAAACGTACAAAGAGCTGTTCACATCTTAGCATTGTCCATGGCTTATCCAAAGCTCTCTGTCCCCACCCCTGCAATCTCTGCCTGCCTGCTAATGTCTGGTGTTCTCAGTTGCATCCATATTTGGTATACTAACTTGTTCTAATGCCTTGTACAGAAGTCATTACTTACCAGCTCCTATACAGAATGGTATATAACAGCTGAAAGACAGCAAGGGGTGGGGTGAAACAAGTATCATAAACCGTATCTCAGCTACATCTGACTGCACAAGTGCTTTTGCATTGCTTCAGGGCAAGGTCAGGTCAAGCCAGTTGGTTTAAACCACCACTGAGGCTATCACCATTAATACCCTCACTCAGGAGCTTCCCATGCTTGTGCTCTTATAGGAGTCAGGTTGTGGGAGAACACAGCTGTGGTCAGGAAGAAGGAATAGCCTTCAGCCCCTCATCATTAATAAAACCTGTCTTTGCTCAGTGGGTGATTACCAAGGTGAGCAGGGAAACTAAGGCAGCATTCTTTCAGTTTGGCAGCAATGGGCGGACAAACTTTGCTACACTTACCACCAGCAGCAAGGTCTTGTTGGACTTAATGACTCCAGTGATGCCAAGGACAGACAGAGCAAAGAGTGCAAAGCCAACAAAGATGCCAATCCAAGCAGCAGCATAGATGTCATCATTTTCTGTGGCTTCCAAGAGAGGGTAGAGACCGTGGGGATCGGACACGAAGAAGATGCACTCTGCTGTCAGGGCAATACCGCACATCTGAGAAGCCCAAGTCAGGGAAATGCATTAGATCAAGTTTCCCCAAAGAAACAGCAAAGACAGGAAGAAAGAGATCCCATTCCTTTCATTCAGCCTCTTGCCAAGCAGGAGTTGCTCAGAAGAACTACCCTGCCATTCCTCTCCCACTGCCCAGCTCTACAGTCTGTTTTTTGTATGCCTCAAAGCAAGAATTGCAGGCAAAACTCAGCAAGCTTATGCCTAAACAGTCAGGCCTAGAACTTGAAGATGTTTAAGAAAGAATTCGCACAATCTTTTCCATTACTCTCTGGAGGGCTTGACTGGAAGCATATTGGTCAGCAGCAAAAGCTGTTCCTCCAGAGCTTGTGTTGGTCTTGTAGATCATGTCCTGCTGTCATTGCAGCACCCCCTCCCCACCCAACTGATCAGCTAGCACAGATCTCTTTTCCCCCTCCTCTCGCACTATTCTATTTATATGTGGACTTCACATGTGAAGAGAGATTTCATGGCTGGAAACTGCTGTTTTGAGAAGTGCTATTCTGAAAGAAAGCCCCCCCGCCCCAATCCTTGCCCTACTCCACTTACCCCAATGACCACATTGCCCAGGATTAATAGGCCCTGAAAGATGCGTATGCTGTTATCGTCTTTTGCCATCTTTAATTCTTCAGGCAATCTATGAAAACAAAAGACAGTCTTCAAGGAGACCAGTACAACAGGCTTCATCCAGAAATGGAAATTATCCCCTGAGGATAAGGATAGACAGAATCTGCCAGCCTGTCTACACACCTCCCACCCCCTGCTTCACAGTAGTTTAAGAGGAGAAACTACCACAGGCTTGAAGTTGGTACCTCAAACTCTTCCTGATACTTAAACTATGAAAGACTGGCACCACTCTGTCTACAGCCAGTGGCTTCAGCTCCCCTTTGGGTAGGGTTTTCACCAACACAACAGCACCCATGCAAACCCCCAGCACAAGCAAAACTCACGGTGTCACATTTGCGTCTGGCTACACCCGGATGGACGTGGAACGAGTTCAGTGTACTCACCTCACTCCTCCTCTGAAGGAGCCAGGTTTATTCCAGAGTATACTCTTTACCCCAATACCATATCCTCTCAGCCAGCACTACCAAGAGACCAAACTAGTAATTGCTCTGCTTCAGTCATATCACATGCACCCCTATAGCACATGGCTTGGCAGCATCTTGCTAAGAGTAATTCCCTTCCCCTTCCAATGCCGGGAAATGAAATCAGGGCATCGGCTCCAGATCAGGTGCGAGGGAAGGAGGTGGCAAGGCTGCAGCTGGCTCACAGGAGCCAGGCCAAGTAACATTCCCCCTAAATTCCTGCAGTCTGGGCCCAGGCTCTCTGCATGGAATTCATCCCCCTCCAGAGAGAGTGGCATAAAGGCGCTAGTCAGAGGTGTGAGACCTCTTGGAGAAATAAATCTAGATTCCAGCACCAGTAAAGCCCTTTTTTAAAAGGGACAGAGAGTGTGTGTGTGTACGGAGGGAGAAGGAGGGAGAGGAGGAAGAAAAAAACACAACTCTTAGACATCTGCCTTTGTCAAGGGGTTTAAGAAAACATAAGCTGTGAGTGGAAGGTTGAAGTGAGTCCAACCTGAGCAGATAGAAGGAAAAGCTGCTTGAACACCGCTCCTACGCCTGCTTGAACCCCGCTCTTCTGCTATGCTACCTGCACTAGTGGCTTCTTTTGCTGGGGTTACCAACTCCATGTATCTCCAAAGAAGTTTTTCAAAAATAAGAGCAGACGAGGTTATCAATAAACCACAGGAAGTTTCTTGTGAAAAAGAGCATTGTCAGACCTCTCTAACAGGGTCATCTTCAGCCTCCTCAGCAGCTGCCTTTTCATGGAAGGCAAGACTTCCAACAGTGGATTTCCTACCAACAGAATTTCCTACCATGACCTCTGCAGTGGTTTGAGTGCTATCATGGAGAAATCTCCAGTGCTTTTGCCATTGTTCCAGCAGCAGAGCGTGTTAGTATTTTCCCACGATAGCTTGGGCGAGGTTGGCCACTACTTCCAGGATCAGAAGCCATTTTCATTCCCAGCCAGGTGGTTGGAAGCTGGTCCAATACACCTGGAGCCGTATGGCACTGTATCTGAAAATGGTAGGCTCAGCAGATCAATCTGAAGCTATGTCCTTGCCAAACTTGTTGACCAGCCAGAGTATCCAAGGGCCACATAAAATTGCTTTGCAGATCAGATCTGGACGTAGGCAACCTTTGGCCACATGTGGTTTGGAACAAGACATTGCAGAGCCTCCAAACATGAGATGCAAGCAGGTCCTCTGATCATCTAAAAGCTGGAGAGCCCACTGCCCAATTCGTTGCTTTTCATGTTGCAAACTCCAGAGTTTTTGAAAAAGACTTTAGTTATTGCCAGCTAAGAGATATCACAAATCAGGGGGCAGTCCAAGGAGGAAATCTCCCCTGCTAGAATTCAGGCACATGAACTCTGACTATTATGTGAAAAAGCAGGCCTGGTCCAATTGCCATGCAGATAGCAGTGTTGAGCGTGTCATGTGGCTAGCACGACACATCACACCAAGCATCATTAAGAAAGTCCTAACCCTCTCCTTAACCTCACAGTAACTGCCTTATCCTCGCCTTTTCTCCTGCAAACTCCTCTGCAGAGTAACAACAGCCCTCAGACCAAAGGAGGCTAGGCAAGACTTCATCACTGTTGCCCAAGGTAGTTCTTTTTTGCTGACTAGTCACCTGTTTGAAGACTCTTGTACGTGGACTGTCTACCCAGCCCACACCCTTGCCTCCCCACAATCTGAATTTCTTCTCCTCCCTGGTAGGCAGGACCTGGCTTGCTCTTGCCTATCCTTGAGCAGGTATTGCTGCAGGCACACCAGCCTGAGAAAGCAGGACTCTTTTCCTGGGGCAAGTCCATCTCCTAGGACACTGTAGCTGGGAGGAAAGCTGGATACAGTCACCACCACACAGATACCACTGGAGAGTGGCAAATTTCCAGGCAACCTAAGGCTCTCCAGTACCTTAACTAAAAATGATGTGATTACAGAGAGGGTGAAAGCAGAGAGATTGAGAAGTGTAAAAGGAAGATCCTTTACTGGAAAATCTAAAGATGAACAGTGTCACCATATTGCCATATTACTATGAATTCTGCCTCTGTTTGCAGGTGATTAGCACGAAGGGAGTCCATTTCTCAGTATCTACCTTGTTCCCTTGTGTTACATGCAGGAATCACTTTTCTGATGCCCCCTCCTTTGGAGATGGTCTAGTATTAGCATCACAGATGAGAGAGCAGGGAGGAACTCCAAGGCCATGACAACAGCTGGATCTGATAGGCAGCCGGAGAGCCTTCTCCTCCCATACACCGTACAAGAAGAGCCACAGGAGATCTGGGGCTTCCCACCCTGCTGTCCCCACCCAGGACACCCTGTTCCTTGCACCTCAGAGGTGAGTGTTGAGTAAGAGCAGCTCGCATAGCACTTGAGACAGGTGCATGAGTATGGCAGCATGAGGCAAACCTCTGCCTGCTTGCCTGAGGCAAACCTCTGCCTGCTTGCACGTGGCAGATTGCACCCAGGCATGAGTCACAACCACCTGGAGAGATGTTGGTAGGCGATCTTCCTCCCAGCCCTCACAGAGATGGGAGCCAGCAGCTCATGCCTGCAGACACAAATCATTTTGGAGGTAGAGAAGCCTTCTGCCTAGGTTGGTTAAGATTAGTTTTACAACCCAAAAACAATGTCCTGGGGCTTCAGGGAAACTCCTGAGGAAACAAGAGCTTCACCTTCACTTGTGACAGAAGGAGGAGGTCAGGTTCTGAGATTTCAGCCTTGAGCTGACGTGGAACTGGTGTTCCTCAGCGCGTCCCAGGAAACTTGCGATTTAGCCATGACCCTTCTAGATAGCAGATATTCAACTGTTACTGCCGCAGAATTAGCTCCATGCTTGAAGTGGCTCTGCAAAGGTTTCTGTTGCTCCCATTGTACCACAAAAACCTACATCCCTCCTGAAGCATCTTCTTATACTTCTGACACGTGGCCACAACCCAGACTGCAGCTTTTCCCCTCTCCTCACCTTACACCCCAAAAACAACTCGCCTGCCCACATGGGCCCAGTTAAGTCTCTCATAGTCCAGGAGCAGTGGTATCCCTGCCTCTACTAGTTCATCCACAAGTCCACTGAGAGATCTATTATTTCTGTGCCTTTAGAGCTCTCTTGAGCTCTCCTCCCTTCCTCTACTCACAGTGGCTTGCACGAGACCTGCAGCACAACTGAGGGAGCCAGAAAGGAAGCTGTTTTCTGCAAAAAAAGGCTGCTGCTCTTGTGCTTTAGGTGACCAATAGCACATAGGCTTTCAAGGGAATTCCTGCTTGGAGCAGTGCCTTGGGACTTTATCAAAATAGGCAGGAAAGGGCCACCTTAGGCTGGATTCATTGTTTCTAGTGCATCCATCACACACATTAGTCTGAAGCCTCCACGCCCTCACTTTTTAGATTGAACCAAGATTTCAATATCCTTAAAGATGAATATCCCCTACTTTAATCTAGTCCTACTCCATCTGCAGCCAAAAAAACCCAACGATAAGAATTAGTTTGGCATTGTCCCATGCAGAAGCAGGTCTCATTTTGATTGCCTTGAGTTTTATGCGAGCTGTCACAGTGGAGTCACAGTATCATGGCTCAGGGATGGCCAGAAACACCCTTTGGCCATCATTTGTTTCTACAGAAAGCCAGTGCTCATCCCACCCGTTGCACAGGACTAAGCATTGCCCTCTCCATGACAGTAAGAGCTTTACTGCACACCCCTTTCCCTAAAGAGAACAAGCCCAGTCTCTCGGCTTGCAGGTCACCAGAGGGTCGCTATCTTGTCCCCTGCTCTTGGAGGGAGGCCAGAGACAGGACAACTTGTGCACAACACCTGTGCACCGGCCCCTTGCACCATGGGCAGCAGCTAGGGGGCTCAGAGGCCCCACAAGTCACTGGCCATTGCATACCAGCTAGGGCATGGTGCTCCTCTCCCCTCCCAGCCCTAAGCATAAAAGCTTAGATGAAACAACACTTCTGCAGGAAGAGAAGAGGAGAGGGGGAATGGTCTCAGCATGACAGCGAGGCTTGCAGAGGCTTTGTATCTTGTTCCTTGCTATCTCCCCTCATTTTTAGTGCTTCTGCACATGCATGACATTCTTATCAAATTGTGTAAGCAGACAGAGACAAGGGACTTATTTGTTTTATTTCTCATTGACTTTGCAGCCTCCAGATGCCTTGGCCGTCAGGCTTTGAGCCACTTGAGCGCAACTAAACAAACCCAGCCTTTCAACAGCAGAAAAGCTGTGCTTGCCAGTGGGGTTCTGCCCTGCTCTTAACCCTGTCCATGCACCGCACCTTCCCTCTCCTGCATTCACCCAGCCCTGAGGAGGGATCATGTCTCCACAGGTGTGAGCTGAACGCTCGGGCTCAAGCTGGGATGCAGAGGGAGAGGAGCTGGTTGCGTGGAACCCAGCCTGGAAGAGCAGTGCTGGGTGCTGAGCCGGCAGGCAGGGCTGGTGCCTCGGGAAGCTCTCAGCACTACGCAGACCTGTGCGTGCCCAGAGCCATGACTGGCTCTTAAACCGTTAAGACCTGCAGGAGCCAGACAGCAGTAAACCTGCTTTTTTTT